AAAAATAAAATTTTTCAATGAAAATAATGGCAGAGGCATATTCTCAGAGAGAACATTTCCATCTAAAGCTTCGATTTTATATACAATACAAATTTCTTGCAATCAAATCCACTTCTCTGGAAATGTGAAGAAACCCCTATTTTCGAAGGGAAACCCGCGAGACTGCAGAAGTTAGAGAAGCAACGGAACTGACTTGATCCACACCAGGGTAAACTCAGATCAGCCTATTGAAACATATTCTGAAGACGTCTGGGGCGGGGAGCCTGGGCCATCGCACAGTGCTCAGGGCCCTTCCTGACTGCTCAGGGGCGTATGCAGTGCCAGGATTCAAACCCAGATCACAGCCACAGGCGAAACCTGACGTCTCCCTGCCCGAAGTCTGTTTTTGAGATGTCGGGGTCTCACTCTCAGCACCAGCTCTCCACAGCTGTAGAGGCGTCAGACTGTCCAGTTCGTGCCTGCCCTCTCCCCTGGGGACGGCCAGGTGGGACCAGGGTCTCCTCACATTGGCTGTTTTCCTGGGGTCTAGAGGAGTTCTCAGAAGAAGCTCATTTGTGAAGCATTTTCTAAAGCATGCTTACCCTGGTCACATGCACTTGAGTGCACACACATGCGCACACACACACACACACACACACACGTCAAGGTTTGGAAAGTTCACAAAGCATTAACTATTCAGCTGCCATTTTGGCAGTTCGCAGTGCAAGAAGTTTTATGGGAAAGAAATCTCTTTTTTTTTTCTTTTTGGGTCACACCCGGTGATGCGCAGGGATTACTCCTGGCTCTGCACTCAGGAATTACTCCTGGCAGTGCTCAGGGGACCATATGGGATGCTGGGAATCAAACCCGGGTTGACCCGGGTCAGTCGCGTGCAAGGCAAATGCCCTCCCCGCTGTGCTATCGCTCCAGCCCCTGGCAAAGAAATCTCTTGACTGGAGCATTTTCCCAACTCCCTTCTATCCACTTCCTCCTTCGTTTGGGGGGTGTCTCCCCAGCCTGGTGCCTGCCAGCCCTTCCCCCAGCCCCGGAGGCCCCCTATATTCTTATTCAAGGCCTGCTCGAGAAGCGTTTGGGGGGTCCGTGGGGCACCTTAGCCGTGCAGAGAGAACAGCATCTCCCACCACCCAGAGGGCTCAGGACAGCAGGAATCCGGCTCTCGCCGAGACTAGAAATCAGCCCCCAGTGTGGCCGACTCCCCCCTTTGCTCTCGGCCCCTCGTCAGGTCAGGTGAGCCGTCCCCTGCGCGTCTCCTCCGGGAGGACACGTCCCTCACTGCAGAGGGTTCCGCCCGCGTGCCAGGCTGCCCATCCCCTGCCGAGGAGCACGTCGGGGCCACGGGACAGCCGCACTCAGAGCCGCCGGGGAAGCTTCGGGATCAGCCTTTCGGGGGGACACGGTGCAGGTCACTCTGGGATCACCTGGGATGCTCACAGTGGCCGCCCCTGCCCAGGCCGTGGGACGCCCCAGGATGAGGGTGTTTGGCCTCTCCCGCCCCTCAACTGTCTCACGGCCATCGTCGCCGACATCTCAGTGTGGGATTAACTGTGTTCAAGCCAGACCCACTGCTTGGGCCACTCATGCAGCCTCCAGCCTCCTCAGCCCCCGGCCCCATCATGCTGGTCACCTGCTCCATGGCGTGGCCTTTGCCCCACATGCTCAGCCCGGCGGCAACACAGTGGCTCCTCCCTCAGACTGTCCTGAGCGTGAAGCCTCTGCTATCTGTCTGGCGAGAGCAGGTGTGAGATTCCTTCAGAGTCCGGGAGACCCATCGCACTGCCTCCCTTGGCCCTGTTGCCCCGGGCCCGACCACCGCCCTCTGCCCGTCTCTCCTGCTGCCACTCGGCCCCCTCAGGACACCATCGCCAGGGGTCAGCCCGGCCAACCCCCCACCAGCCATTTCTCTTGCGGTTTCATCTGGCCTGAAATTCTCCTTCCCCAGTTCTCACGGTTTCTCTCCCAACTCCGCCTCATGCGTTCACACCTCGCGGTGGCCGTCTTTGTCCGTGAGGGGCTCCCTGCCCGTCCTGCCCAACGCTCTGCCCTGCTTCCCTGGTTTTAATAGCCCTGAGCTGCACTTTAGAATAAAAGCCACGGGATCGGGGGGGACACCGGGCCCCACTCTCAAAGGGGCAGTACGAGCCAAAGACTTTGCCAGAATTCTTCTTGCCTCAATAAAAGATAATAAGGTCATGCCTAATAAAACAGAGACTGTGGAAATTCAGGAATCGGCCAAGAACATCAGTTTGATGGGCTTGTTTCAAAGAGAGGAATTCGGCGTCTTCATAAGAGGAAGGTCCTGAATCTTCCTGAATCTTCCCCTCATGTTAGGTTCCAAGGCCAGGAAAAAAAAAAAAAAAACGCCAGATTGGAAACTCTGCTCTCCGATCAGTTTTCTTCCTTACAGAATATCAGTGTCACCTCCTAGTTATTCCCAAGAGTGCCGAGCTCATCTTTACTTCCTGAGTAACATAACTGCTGGTTCTGAGGGCCGCAGTGACCCATGGACATCAGCCTGTCGCTGCCCGCAGACACGAGTGACCCCAGAGCCCCTTAAGCTCTTAGGAAGGACGAAGGACCCCTCCCAAAAACTGGAGCTAGAAACCACTGGAAATGGACTGGAAGTCGGCACTGCTTGAAGTTAGGCCAAGTTTACGGTCATTTTTAAAACAATATTTTGATTTCAACATGATTTACGTGATTCGATGAAACTTGAAAACCTGAACTTCCTAAGTGATCTTTTCCGTGAGAGAGAGCGTGTGTTCGCCTATGGCCATCCCACCCTGAACGTGCCCGATCCCGTCTGATCCCAGAAGCTAAGCAGGGTCGGGCCTCGAAGTTGGTCAGTCGTTGGATGGGAGAAAGAAAGCGTGTGTTCGCCCTCGGAATGAAAAGTTCATCTGTCCCTTCCCACTTGGACTGCCTGTCTCTCGGAAGTTTAAGTAGGTGTTGATTCATCCCAGATCATCCCTGTTCGACCGACCCATACCCTCTCTCGATGCGAAGGTACAAGTAGTTAGAAGCCAGCCCCTCGGGGCGCCTGTCCAAATGGGGCGTTATTGGCTTCATTTAACAGAGTAAGTTTGGCTCCACCCAAGAGAGGAAGAAAACTAAAAGGAAAAGAAAAGGATGCATATTTACATATATTCAGTTATGTATAAATGCATCAAGAAAAAAGTTATAAACATATACATATATATCACATTTATATCGCCTATTGGGGACCAGAGAATTTAGCACAGGAGTTAAAGCCATGGCCTTTGACTTTGCCCAAACCTGGTTTGACCCCAGGACCACCTGGTCCCCTCAGCATTCCCTGGGTGGCGCCTCTTGAGTACCACCTGGAGACCCCCCAAAGGGCACACACATAGATATAATTTATATTCACATATTAAAGTCCCAGGATATTATAATTAAAGTCTGATTATATATTATATTATAATTATAGTTGGTTATAATATAATTATAATTGAAGTCTGATTCCTGGGGCTTAGGGTTTTGGGGGGAAGGGTGGGTGGAGTCTTTGAATCTTGGTTCAGCCTTTTTACAAATTGTTGTTCAGTATATTGTATTTCCTTTTTTTTATGACTTTCAGTTATGTTAAGCTAGCAATGGGACATACAAGTGCAAGTTTAATTTAAAAGATGTTTTTATTCATTTCTTCCTCTTATGTTGGGGGAGCTTACGTCAGCTTTTACACAAATATCCTAAGTAATATTGTGGAATGCAATATATTTTTTTCCTTTGAGCTCCCCTATAAACTCTAGGCAATGTGTTGTCATTGGCTGTTTTTCGAGCAGAAAAAAATATTCTTGATATGATCATAATTCTTCACATTATTCACATTACTATAATCTCTTATTTGGGTCATTATATTAATTTGTTACTAATACATTAAAATAGTCCTAATTAAAATTCTGTAACTGGGGCTAGAGTGATAGCACAGCGGGTAGGGCATTTGCCTTGCATGCGACCGACCCGGGTTCGATTCCCAGCATCCCATATGGTCCCCTGAGCACCACCAGGGGTAATTCCTGAGCGCAGAGCCAGGAGTGACCCCTGTGCATTGCCGGGTGTGACCCAAAAAGCAAAAAAAAAAAAAAATTCTCTAACTTAGCAGGAACACTAATTCAGTTATATTAAATATTTCTTAAAGTGTGCCTTTTCTAAAAGCTTTTCATCGAAAGAAAATTTCTTGTTGTTGTTGTTTATTGGGGAAGGAGGGCGAAATCTGGTGATGCTCTGGGATTCCACCTGGCTCTGTTCTCCGGAATCACACATGGCTGGGTTTGGGGAACCCGATGGGGTGCCGGAGATCAAACCCGGCTTGGACACGTGCAAGGCAAGTATCTTGCCTGCTGTACTATAGCTCTGACCCCCAAAGTGTTTGTCTCTTCAACGTTTTTATTGTGCTATCCCCTGCTGATATAATTATACTGTTTTTCTCACTATGCATATATAGTTTTGCATGTTACACTGCTATGACCTTTGTAGGGATTTGATTTATAGACCATTAAGAATTGATATTTTATACATTTTATATCTTTTAAAATTGCTTTGGTGAAATATGTGGTATTTCTCAAATGACTAAATACCAACATTAACTATAAAATTGTAATTATCGTTGCCTCAACTGAGCTAACGCTAGGGCCAGAGAGATAATCCAGCTGGTATTGCACTTGCCTTGTACACGATCGATCCACGGTAAATCCAGCCCCCACCTGGCCCCCTGAGCACCGCCAGGAGTTATTCCTGAGTTCCAAGTCGAGAGTAAGCCCTGAGCACTGCCAATCATGACCCGACAGTAAAACAGGTACCAACTTACAAACTAGAAATAATTGATAAACTAGAAATTGTGGCAAGGTTACCACTAAGTTCAAAGTTGCTTTGATTTTTCCGAATTTAACTTTTTAAAGTTTCTGAGTGGACTTAGTGGCATATTACTCTTGATACCTCAACTCAGTAAAAAATTCTTTTCTCTTTCTCTTAAAAAAAATCAACAGCTTGATCAAGTCATCCGCCAGAGAAGCCTGTCCAGTTTGGAACTGTTCCTCTCCTGTGCGCAAAAACAGTTAAGTGCTTTAATCGCTACAGAGCCAGCTGACATTGAATAAAGACACTTGACCAGTCACCCCCACTGGCAGTGGCTGTCATTAGACCTCGAAAATAGATGTTGTGACTTAGAAAGATGCTTTTGTTTTCTTTCAAAACCTTGGACAGTTGATTTCTACTTCAAAGATAAAACCAAGATATTACTTTAAAAAAACTATCAAGAATTTTAATTTTAAAAAGAAGAGAATTTCTATTTACTTTCTTGTTTTCACCTTTGCACTTACTATTTTATTAATAGTAGGAGCAACAGCAACAGAAAGGATGATGTGACCCAAAATCCACTGAGAATCGCCAGATTACCAAGAGTCAATTAAGATAACTAAGTAAATGCTGGCCTTTCTGTTGGCTGTTGACTGCATTGTATTTGGCAAAAGTTGTAAATATATACTTAAAACTTCATGATAATTCCTGATGCTAGATTGCAATTATATATTTATTTGATTTTGAGAATATAATGAAATAGATTTCAGCATCACCACTTTGTCTTGATGGTGGATATAACTTTATATTGGTGGTGGGTATCACTAATGGAACTCTAAATGGGAATAACCACTGGGACACAGAACATTGACGTCAAAGAATCATTCTTGGTATTAAGACTTTTCTGTCGTTGGACCCACGTGTCTCATTGATTACAATTAAAAATTATAATTATTAAAAATTACACTGACTATAATTTTGATCCAGCTTAACTCTTAAAAGGGTACAGGATGTATGCCTATTTTCTGTTTGTTTACAGTCACCTTAAATCAATAAAATAATTTTTCTTAGAAACCATATGATAAAAGTAGTTTCTAGAAAGAATAAAACATCCATTTGTTCAAGTTCAAATGTCAGAGATCAATCCCCCCACCCCCGCTTAATTCTTAAGAATGTTCTTAGTTCATAAGCAGTGTGCTTCAGTGCAAAAATCATCATTTTTTAATAGCAAAAATAAAATGACATTAAAATGTATCCAAAGATTTTGTTGTGTTATCTGAAATACTTCTACCTTCACAGACTTTGTACTTTTCTGGGATTTTGCTATGTAATAAAAAGAGTTCTAAAAGTCTTTTGGTTATTGCTTTTTTAAAATTATTCCTTTAATTAAACTTCTATATTTGTTCATGTATTTCATGTGTACCTCCCCTACTTACTTTAAAACCCCTAAATGTGAAACTACTTTTCTATGTAAATAAAAAAATTTTTTACTAAGCAGGCCACTGACTTGAACTGCAGCATAGTGGAAGAGAAGAGAAGCCTTTAATTCAGGAACCAGCTCGTAACAGGGTGCTGTGGTCATCGAAATTCCTCCTTGGAAATAATGGAATGGGCTGAGCCGTCCCTGGCCATGCTCGGGGCTCACTCCTGGCCATGCTCAGAGGCTGCCAGGTACCAGGGATCGAGCCCAGGTTGGCCACGTGCAAGGCAGAAGGCCTCTCTCTCTCTCCTCTCACTCCAGCCTAGCCCTTCATGTTACAGTTCTAAGTGATGGCCATCACGCAGGGGTGAGTGACCCTCAGATCAGTGAGGTAACCCTATGGACGTATTTTTTTTTATCATTACATTAGCCCCCTAATGGTAAGCAATATAAAATAAATCATCATGGGCTGCTGTGGGGGCAGGCTGGGGAGATGGTTGGGAAGATGGAGACAGTGGTGGGTGGGATTGGGATGAAATATTGAATGCCTGTAACCAGTCATCATGAACAGCTTTGTAAATCACGATCATGACCATCCTGTTGTTCGCCGGATTGCCTCGAGCAGGCCCCAGTAACGTCTCCCTCGTCCTAGCCCTGAGATTTAAAAAAGTGCCATATTCAAGGCTCTTTCAGGGTCAGGAGAATGAGACCCATCATTGTTACTGGTATTTGGCATATTGGGTACGCCACGGGGAGTTTGCCAGACTCTGCTGTGTGGGTAGGTTACACTCAGTAGCCTGTAAATCATGGTGTTCAAATAAAGTGGGGAAGTAAAGAACACGTCTTAAAGCCACTCTCAAATTGTGACTCCATCTTTGGTAGCTTCCTTGAAGGTTCACGATAGCTGAGCTCTGCTTTGTGTGTCCACTTTGTGCCGGTGCTTCACTGTGCCTCAGAAATCGTCCTGGGAAGGAGAGAATGGTCTCGGATTACTAACGGGGAGAACTGAGTGTTTTTGCTCCCACAACAAGGTGAACCTGGGACTCTGTCACAGTCTCCGACAGAGGGTTTCACTGTCTCCAGTCCTCGGCCATTTGGAGAAAATATCAACTTTCTCTCCGGGAGAAAACACCTGGACACGTCCATCCCAGCAGGCCTACTGCATGGTTTAGGAACACGAGTCCATTCGGACCATAGCCTGGGCTCCGGCCTGCCACATTTAAATGGGGAGAATGTTGCACAGCCGCCTAGTAGGAGTTGGGGGTCCCCGTTTGTGAGCTGGAAGGAGTGACTTTATATTCGAGGCGGTTTGTGAAATTAAGCCTTAGAAACTCCCAGTATTGTAGAATCTGCCAGCCTGACTTCTGAGAATTGTCCACAAAGACAGGTGTGGTGACCCCAGGTTACTGGCCGAATGGTGTTACCCTCCCCCTGGGTTACTCAGACCCCCTGATCCTGCAGGGAGACCCACCCTACCCACCTGCAGTGAAAAGGCATGTGGGAAACCAGTGGGGAGAGGGGCACAGAAATGCTTCTGAGGTCAGGAATTCCCCAAACTTTGCCTTCCTGAGCTGTGGATTCTGCGAATGCCTCAGTACCCTCCAGCGTACCAGCACATACCAGTGCTCTCTCCCCTTTGCTGGAGCCAGTTTCTATTACATGCATGACAAAAAGCACTTATGTATATGTGTACATATATATTAACTTACTTGCATGTGTGTATATATAAACATATGTGTGCATATATACATGCATGCGTGTGTACATATATAAGCATTGCGTGTATATATAAACATGCATGTGTGCATATATAAACATACATATGTGTGAACATATATACATGCACGTGTGTATGCATCTAAACAGACATGCATATGTGTGTGCACATACAAACCCAGGGTTCAGCGAGGGCAGCTCAGATTCCCTCCCCGGCTCTTGCTTCGTTCCCCCATGGCACTGATCCACATCCAGAAAAGAACACTGATTTATTTTAAGGAATGCTAAAAATACAGCTGAACAAACGCCCCTAATCCCAAAGCCAAGGAAGTCACAGATCCCCAAAATGATGGCGAGCGCTCCCTGTGGCAGTGGTAGGAGTCGGCGTGGGTATTGGCCTGAGGAAGGGCTGGCTCTGTGCCAATGCAGGAGGACTTTGCAGTGATGCTTTGGAATGAGAGGCACAAAGATGTGTGTGATTGATGCCATCTGTACCCCGTCAGGTCTCCAAAATTCATATCTTTGGGTTTTGATCATTTTAGTGGTGGCCATTAGTGTTGTCCTGTAAATCTTAAACTAAGTGGAATCAAGAAATAGTTTTGGATTATTGTATGCCTGAAACACAACTATCAGTAACTTGGTAAATCACGGCTCTATAAAAAAAATTATTTTAAAGAAATTCTATATATGTTTTAACAAAAAGTAAAAAGTAATTATCCATTCATTTCAGAAAGTTCTCTGCACAAATCCTGCATAAGGCAAAAAAAATGACAAAACAACTTGGAAAATGTAAAACTCCAAGAAAAAAGGAGTTAAAGCACCAAGCACATAGCCTTCGTTCTTCTGTTTACATCGTCATAGACAGTCCTACTGTATCCCCAGAGACGCTTTTAACAAGAAGCAGGAGCAAACGCAGAGCCTGGCATGTTCTGATGCGCAGGACACTGACCGTGCAGGTCAGCGCTGAGTGACAGGGAACACTGACGCGCTCTTGCAGTGGGGACTGTCAGGAATATTGTTCAGGTCCAATGAAACTAAAACACTTCTATTTAAATGACAAACAAATTACAAACAACCCAATTATATAGTGCTGCGTTCACTTAGACACCGGTCATTGGTATACGTGTGTGTGTGTGTGTGTGTGTGTGTGTGTGTGTCCATGTGTATACCAATATATAAAGGGGAAAAAACGGTAACATTTTCTTTACTGTCCACTGGTTTTCTTTCTTTTTCCTAGAAGCATTTCAACAAGGTGATTTTCATTGAATTCCACTTCCCACCCCACCCCTGGGTGCTGCATTCTCTGCTTTTCCTTTGTACTAATAGAATTAAGTCAGATTTTGTATTATCACTGTTTATAATTATATTCTTTACATACATGTCCTCCTGAGAGCCCACCTCTGCTTTTTATTCTATGCTGAAGGCAACATCGCTGTTTTAATCAAGTCTTCTTGAGAAAGTTTAAAGTCTCATAAGACAGAAACGGCCATGAATCAACCGAACTTCTGAACAATAAAATGAACTGCATTTCCACACACTGCTAGAATGGCAACATCACTCTGATAGGGATGTGCTACTCAAATAGAGAACGCCCTTGAGAGTGTAAGTGGGAGAGAGCATGTGGGAAATTGAATGTGAACAGATGACGGTATGTACCTGAGTCCACCTGCTCAGAGAGGACGAGAGAGGACGCAGTAGACTCCTTCACCCCAGCCCATCAGATCTCAGTCATAAATGGGAGAAGGAGGACATTTTGGGAAGCCACTTGCATACGTGAGTCTTGGTGACCGGAAGTAGACAGATGATTTCCATGATCTAGTGAAGTTGTGTCGGAAGACAAGAGTGTCCGGGCTGGGGTCAGGGCAGACGGTGTCTAGATCAGTGCAGAACAGTGTGGGTGACAATGGTCCCCCAAACAACTGATGGTCTCAAAATCCAGCCTTGTCCTCAAATCATGAAATAAACTCTTAGTTTTGAAAACTACACAGAAATCAAGGAACAAACTCATTCAGAAGGTGGGAAAACTTGACTCCTTCCTGGGAAACACTCAGTTCTCAGAAGCCTGAGAGCTGATTTTACAAAGGAAGACCCAAGTCACAGACTTCAGCTCAGTTCCTGAAGCAAATTATCAAAAATGCCTCATAGCAAGATATGTATATAGTGAATATTGCATTTCTGTTCCTCCTCGTAGGTATTCTTTTATAATATGTTAGTCACCATTCATCAGCACACCTGACCTTTTATGAAACATTTTCCCTGTAATATTTTAATTTCTGCCTGTTTTCCATAACTTCCAACATGTTTAATTTGTTTAAATGTTCCAATGCTTAATTTTACCTATAAAATTTTTTAAACATACAGCGATTCAATTAGTAAATGCTCAGTTATTGTCTCAGTGGGATATTTAAAATTCTGTTACAATTTTACAAGCAAGCCAATATTTTTTTACACTAATGGCTTTTATATAGCTAAAAGTAAGCAACAATTTTCCTTGTAATTTCCCTTTTTGGCATAAAATAGTAAAAATGTATACATCAAAGCTGGTGTGATGGTAATAGTTCTAGAAAGTGAGATAAACAAGGTAAAAATGTTAGCTGTTTTCAAGAAAATTCTGGTCTGTAGGTTCTTTGCCATCCAGATAATGTGCTTATTAAAAAGTAAGATGTGTTCACTCATACTAATGACATTCTAAGTGTCACAGTGATTTACTTCATATAGACTCTTGGCTGCGCTAGCGGTTCCTATCATGGAGAATTCTTGTGTTCATAAGTGTGTTTGCTCGGGTCTGAAATGCACATTCTCTATAATGCAGGTCAAGTAGCCCACAGAGAAAACTAAAGCTTCTATATAACTCGCAATGCAGTGTTACATAGACCTCAAATAGAACAGGTCTGGTGCCCTTGTTTTGATTTTTTTTTTAACAACCTGTGTGATCTCATCCGATTCCACAACTTTGCAAAACTCCTTGTAGCTAAATACTACCCAGTGTGTGTGCCACCGTTCTCTTCATACAGACCAAGTCCTGTGTTCGGCAGCCTACTGAACATTTCCACTTGCATGCAGTCCTTACATCAACAGCAGCTTCATCACCACCTCGTCTTCCCATTTCAACAAGTTCCAGCTCTGCCTTGTCCCTCTTCCCTCCCAAACTTGCCAATTCGACAGTCCGTTTACTCATAGCCTCATCCTGACTCCCTTTCTTCCACTGAGCCTAA